GAGCCCAGCAGGTCGAGGCTGCAGTGGCCGGAAGTGGCCACTGCACTCCAGTCTGGGTGACAGAGTGAGACTCCAACTCAAAAAAAAAAAAAAAATTTTTTTTGATTTATTGTAGAAATGAGTTCTCGCCAAGTTGTCCAGGCTGGTCTCGAATCCCTGGGCTCAGACAGTCCTTTCACTTAGCCTCCCAAAGTGCTGGGATCATAGGCGTGAGCCACTGCGCCCAGCCTGAGCCAAGATTTCAGAACCAGCCTGGACGACATAGCTAGACCCCATGCCTTTTTTTTTGAGTTGGAGTCTCACTGTATGCCCAGGCTAGACTGCAGTGACACACTCACAGCCATCCCAGCATTGACCTGCTGGGCTCTGAGGATTCTTCTACCTCCGCCTTCCAAGTAGCTGGAACTACAGGCGCGCGCTACCACACCTGGCTAATTTTTTTGATTTATTGTAGAGATGAGGTCAGAATGGGACACGATTGAAAACTCAACAGAATTTTCCATTGGATATTTTTGAACTGCTGGTGACCGTGGGCAACTCGTACCTCAGAAAGCAAAAGCGTTGATGGGAGATGCTCCGAGATTCACATTTGGCGAAATCAGGAGGGGCTCCCCATGTCTAGGGCTAGGCTCCCTGTACTCACAGTCACCCAGTGACTTGACAGATGAGGAAGCCAGAGCCCTAGCAGGAGCAGTGGAGAACTGGGGTTCTCGTCCTGTCAGTGAACTGCCCTTACTTCTTAGCACTAACAGGGGTCTGGCATGATGGCTCACACCTGTAATCCAGCACTTTGGGAGGCCAAGGCGGGAGGATCGCTTGAACCCAGGAGTTTGAGACCAACCTGGACAACATAGTGAGACCTTGTCTAAAATAAATAAATAAATACACTAGCTGGGCATGGTGGCACATGCCTGTAGTCCCGGCTACTCGGGAGGCTGAGGTGGGAGGATCACCTGAGCCCAGGAGGTAGAGGCTGCAGTGAGCCATGATCATGCCACTGCACTCCAGCCTGGGCAACAGAGTGAGACACCCGCGAACTACTGAATAAAAAAAAGAGGAGCATTAAGGGAAGGGAGTTTTCTCTTCATGCTGCTCTGGTTTCAGAAATCGAGCCAACATCCTGGCTCCTAGCAAGAGTCCTGGGATGTGGGGTGGGATGCTTCCCAAGGTGCCTGGTGCTGACAGTGGGGATCAAGATCACCCACCCTCTCAGAGCCCACAGTCCAGGGGTAACAGATGGAAGGGCCAGTGCTGTAAGGCGGGGGATGTGGGTGTCAGGGAACCCAGGCGGTCAGGGAAGGCTTCCTGGAAGAGGTGACCGTAGAGCCAAGACGCAGCCCGCCCAGTGGATATTAGTGAAATATCCAGGTTGTGCCGGTGCCTGGGATTCTGGGAGCCCAAAGGGCATCAGAAAAGGTGCCGACCCCGGGGGTGTGGGAGGGGATGCCCAGGGGCCATCCCCGCCACACCCCTCACCGCCGGCTCCTCCCCTGCAGATCGAAGCGCTGCCCCCGGAGCTCTTCCAGTGCCGGAAGCTGCGGGCCCTGCACCTGGGCAACAACGTGCTGCAGTCGCTGCCCTCGCGGGTGGGCGAGCTGACCAACCTGACGCAGATCGAGCTGCGCGGCAACCGGCTGGAGTGCCTGCCCGTGGAGCTGGGCGAGTGCCCGCTGCTCAAGCGGAGCGGCCTTGTGGTGGAGGAGGACCTCTTCAACACGCTGCCGCCCGAGGTCAAGGAGCGGCTCTGGAGGGCCGACAAGGAGCAGGCCTGACCACTGCAGCCGCATGGCCGGCCCACGGCTGAGGCCTGGGTCCGAGTGGGAGGACGCGGCCGACCGGCCCCTCTGCTCCCGAGACTCACGCCCCAGGGCCTGCACCTGCGGGAGGCCAGAGACCCAGCAGCCTCCAGTGCAGTGATCGGACAATCAGGGCGGCCTCCCCAGAGGCCATCTCTGCCCAGAGGCCAAGCTGCCCCTCGAGGTCCTGGGACACTACTTCGCTGTTGGTATTTATTTTTCTCCGCCTCCGCCTCCTTCCTCCAGATGACTTACACATTCCCAGGAAGGCCCAGGTGGGAGACGGCTTGGGAAGGGTGGGCTGCGCATCCCGGTCTCCCCACGAGCGCCGCTGCCCACGTCCAGCGCCCACCCAGACTTGAGCAGAGTGATCCAGGGCGGGCCAGCCACGTGACGGTGGCCCCTGTGGTGCCGGGCTGGCCCTGGTGGTGCAGCTGCCATATGGGGAAGGCCGGCCCAGGGCTCGCTGCTTCAGTTTTTGTGGCAATTTTAGATTTTTTTTAAGTCAAAAGGTTTTTTTTTCTTTTTTAAAAGCTTTGAAAATGGATGGTTTGAGTATTAAAGAGAAAAAAAATCTAAAAAAAAAAAAAAAGACACTAAATAAAGGCCAGTGAGTCGGAGTCTCAGGGTGGAGGGCAGTTTCCCTTGGGCAAAGCAACAAGACGTTGAATGGTGTTTCCTCTCCCTGGCGCAGGGTGCAGGCTGTCTTCCGAATGCGGTGTGACCTTGGTCTCCGTTCTGTTTGTTCCTCTCCTTTCCTGGGGCGGGGACTTTTTGTTTGTTTCTTGGGGGCTTTTTTGGGTTTGTTTTTTTTTTTTTTTGGTGTCTTGTTTTCTTTCTCCTCCATGTGTCTTGGCAGGCGCTCATTTCTGTGGCTGTCGGCCAGAGAGAATGTTCTGGAGCCGCCAAGAAGGGAGGAGAGGCGGGTTGGCTAATCCCAGGATGAACGGTGCTCCATCCTCCCGCCCCCTCGCACCCGCCCTGCCGCTCCACGCAGTGTTAGGAGCCGAGAGGGGCCTCCTTGCCTGGACTCCGTTTCCCCCACAAGCCTCTGCCGCGTCCGTCAGGCCTGTCACTACCTGTCTATCACGAAAAGCAGACATTCCGAGGTGGGGCTGGCAGGGGAGGTCGCCGCCGGCAGGGGAGGCTCTCTGGTTTTGGGCTCCAAGCCCGCTTCTGTCCCAGGCACCGGGAGCAGCCCACCAGCGCCTGCGGCGGGAAGCCCCTCCACCCTAGACCAGTCACTCGGGTCCCCACCTCAGATCAATCACATGGACACTAAGGCACGTTTTAGCGTCTCCTGTCTTAACGATTATGTCCGTCTATCTGTGTGTTCTCCCATCGTGTCATTGGATGTAATCCTCAGAAATAATGCACACTAGCCTCTGACAACCACGAAGCAATCCGTTACATGTGGGTCTGAACTTGTAGACTCAGTTCCAGTATCAAATAAATCTATAACAGAAAGTAGTCTCTGTGTCATTGGGGAACCCTTCCCGCACCTCTGAAGCCCACCAGGCCCTGCCAGCTACTGTTGAGTGACCATTTGGGGGCACACACAGGAGGGTGAACTCTGCTCATCTCTCTGCCCTGTGAAACTGAGCTACTTGGAGGCAGTTACTGGAGGCTAGACCAGGGGTCCCATGGGCAGCACATACTCTGGCCCTTCATGAGTTTTTTTTGTTTTTTTTTGAGTTGGAGTCACTCTGTTGCAGTGGCACGCTCTCAGCCACCGCAGCCTCGACCTTCTGGGCTCTGGCGATCCTTCCGCCTCAGCCTTCCAAGTAGCCGGAACTACAGGTGCGCGCTACCACGCTTCCTGAGTTTTGATGGGTGGGGGCTGGGAGAGGGCAGCCAGGTGTCCTGGGTCTTTGTACCAACTCAGTCATCCCCTGCTTGAAGCTAGGCAGGTCCCTTCCCTCCATGTTCCCCTCTGTACAATGGGCATTTCCACACTCTTAGAGGTCCCTTGGTTGTTCCCATGACAGGTCCCAGGGGGTGGGGCTGAGAGTCAGCATGGGAAGACCTAGCTTGGCTCCTGGCCCCTCGGGGCCTGCTGAAAGCACTGGGGTCAAGGGCGGAGGCTCTTCATAGCCCAGCTGTGCCACAGGGTTGATGGGGGGGACCAGGACAGGGATGGCAGACTTGCGGGATTGTTCCAGGGAGCCATCATGATCACGCAGGCCATGGGCTTTTAGTGGAGGGCCAGGCTCCCGGCACTCAATAAATGGTCTGGTAGCTGCCTCCCGACCAAGGAGTCTTGTGTGGGGCTGACAGGGCGCCCTGCAGCCAGAGTCCTGGGGTGAGGGAGAAAGGCTGTGGTATCTGACTTTGGCCTTTGTGCCTGCCTTGCTGGTTGGGCACTTTCTCGGGAACAGGCCAGAGAAAGTTCCACCCTCCACTGGGACTCTGACCCCTCTAGGTGACGTCAGCCCACAGCCAAGACTCGCTTCCTTTTGTGCCTCTTCACGGGTTTTCTGACAGGCTGAGCAGCTGGACTCGACTGTCCCCCTCCTTTTTCCTTTTTGAGTCTGAGTTTCACTCTGTCGCCCAGGCTGGAGTGCAGTGGCACAGTCACAACTACTGCAGCTCGACCTGCTGGGCTCCGGCGGTCCTCCTGCTTCAGCCTCCCAAGTAGCTGGAACTACTGGCACGTGGCGCCACACCCAGCTGATTTTTTGATTTATTGTAGAGATGAGGTCTCACCAAGTTGCCCAGGCTGGTCTCGAACCTCTGGCCTCAAGCAGTCCTCTTGCCTCGGCCTCCCAAAGTGCTGGGATTACAAATGTTAGCCACCACTTAGCCTGGCGTGGTAGTGCGTGCCTGTAGTTGCAGCTACTTGTAAGGCTGAGGTGGAAGGAACGCTGGAGCCCAGCAGGTCGAGCCTGCGGTGGTCGGGAGCGTGCCACTGCACTCCAGTCTGGGCGACGGAGTGAGACTCCAACTCAAAACCAAAAAACAAATGTTAGCCACCACACCCGGCCTCAAGACCCTCTTTTGAATTTCCACAACAGAGGTCTTCCTGTCTGGCCTGGAACCCTTCCCACCAACCTCCACCCCCTGACTCACTCCCCTGCCCCCTCCTGGCCTTGGGGTCGCCCAGTGCATGATAGCAGGAGAGTTTGAGCTGGAGCTAGTTAGCTTTTGAGAAAAACAAACATGTAGCAACACCGCCTACCCACTTCCCAAAGCTGAGCAGAATGAAGAAATAGTGGGAAACCGAGCCTTTCCCTCTCTCCACCCTACCTACCCAGGTCTCTCCACTCTGCCTAAATCCTCAGTGGTGGTCTCTCTGATTATAACAATAATTTTGGGCTGAGTGCAGTTTTTCACGCCTACAAATCCCAGCACCATGGGAGGCTGAGGCGGGAGGATCACTTGAGCCCAAGAGTTCAAGACCAGCCTGGGCAACAAAGCGGAACCACCATCTCTACAAAAGACTAGAAAAACTTGCCGGGCATGGTGGCTTGTGCCTGGTGTCCCAGCTACTTGGGAGGCTAAGGCAGGAGGATCACTTGAACCCAGGAGTTGGAGGCTGTGATGAGCTGTGGTCCTGCCACTACAATCCAGCTTGGGTGACAGAGTGAAACCCTGTTGGAAAAAAGAAAAAACCTTGGGACAGCTCAAAAAAAAAAAATTTTTTTTTTTTGTGCGGGATTACAGGCTGAGCCACCAAGCCCGGCTAAAAAAAATTTTTTTAAATTTAAACCTTCATATTCCGCCCAGAACAGCCCTTGTTAAAATTTGCCGAATAGGCCAGGCTCAGTTGCTCAGCCTGTAATCCCACGCTTTGGGAGGCTGCGGTGAGTGGATTGCCTGAGCCCACGGGTTCAAGACCTGCCTGGGCAACTTGGCGAGACCTCATCTCTACAATAAATAAAAAATTAGCTGAGCATGGAAGCGTGCGCCTGTAGTTCCAGCTACTTGGAAAGCTGAGGCGGAAGCCCAGCAGGTCGAGGCTGCGGTGGCTGGGAGCGTGCCACTGCACTCCAGTCTGGACGACGGAGTGAGACTCCAACTCAAAAAAAAAAAATTTTACCCAACAACTTGTTTACCAGTTGATAAGCTCTTAGTGCCAGGCCTGGTGCCAAGTTCTTTATCATCAGTGAAGCATTTATTTTATTTACTGCTCACAGGGGGGGGGGTCCCCCTGTTATCCCCAAATTACAGATGGGGACAGTAAGGCCTGAACATCTGGGACCAAACCCAGTTGTCCTCGTTGGGCCTCCACTACAAGCTTTTAGTTGGGGATCCCGGGGGAGTTTCTGGCCCAGCAGGAGGAGAGCTCACTGTGTTTCTGGTACCTGGCAGGAGTCTCTGTGTTTGTTGCATCAGAAGGGTCTAGGGGCTGAGTGTGATGGCTCACACCTGTAATCCCAGCACTTTGGGAGCCCGAGGCAGGAGGATTCCCTTGAGCCCAGGAGTTTGAGACAGGCCTGGGCAATAAAGCGAGACCTCATCTCTACAAAAAAAAAAAAAAATGTTTATGAGCCAGGCATGGTGGTGTGTGCCTGTAGTTCCAGTTATTTGGGAGGCCAGGGTGGGAGGATTGCTTGAACCCAGGAGGTGGAGGCTACGGTAAGCTGTGATCTCGGCATTACACCCCAACCTGGGCTACAGAGCGAGACCATGCCTTAAAAAAAGAGTGGGGATCCTAGGATAGCTACAAACACGCCTTCCTCCAACAAGTCTCCTGGGGGTTTTTGGGGGTTTGTTTTTTTTTTAGTCAGTTTCACTCTTGTCATTCAGGCTGGAGTGCAGTGACACGATCATGGCTACCTCAGCCTGAACCTCCTGGGCTCAGGTGATCCTTCCATGTCAGCCTTACAAGTAGCTGGACCCATAGGTGGGTGCCACCACACATGGATAATTTTTCTTGATTTATTGTAGCGACAAGGTCTCACCAAGTTGTCCAGGCTGGTCTCAAACCCCTGTGCTCAGGCAGTGCTTTCACCTCAGCCTCCCAAAGTGCTGGGATGACAGGCGTGAGCCACTGCACCCAGCCAAGTCTCCTGGTTCTTGCCCCTCCCCCAGCCCGAGCCCTCCAACCCAGGAGCCCTGGCTGACCTCACTGCTCCTTCTGGGCCGCCTGACAGAGCAGCAGCTCCCAGTGTGGTGGCCCGGCAAACCCCACTTGCTCGGAGCCGAGGCTCCTGGGGGCTGAGCCGTGTCCCTAACTCACTCCCGAAACAGTCTGTCCCTTTGCCATTCAGAAAGCATTGGGCTTGGTGGCTCAGCCTGTAATCCCGCGCTTTGGGAGACTGAGGTGAGTGGATTGCCTGAGCCTGCGAGTTCGAGACCTGCCTGGGCAACTTGGCGAGACCTCATCTCTACAATAAATAAAAAAATTAGCCGGGCGTGGTAGCGCGCGCCTGTAGTTCCAGCTATTGGAAGGCTGAGGCAGAAGGATCGCCAGAGCCCAGCAGGTCGAGGCTGCAGTGGCCGGGAGCGGCCACTCCACTCCTGCCTGGGCGACAGAGTGAGACTCCAACTCAAAAAAAAAACCAAACAAACAGAAAGCATCATTTCGGGGAAGGCCAGTGGCTGGATTTTCAGAGCCAGAGAGCTCGGGCAAGGCTGGCGTGCAGGTGTTTTGACACCGGGCTCTGGTGCACTGGCCCAACATGAGATGCCAAACACCTCAGGCCCGAGGGTGGGCGGCAGGAGCCATCTCTCGTTCCCACATGCGGAGACCCAGGGCCCCCTCCAGCCCCTTCCTCTTCCCAAGACATCCCTTATCGTCTCCTTCCTCTGAGCTGCATAGGGATGCTTAATTCCCTTCCTTAATCCGCCCAGGACCTAGGGCGCTTCAGCTCAGAGCCGGGAGGGGCCCAGCCAGCTGTCCTCCCAGGGCTTCTTCCCCCTTTGGAATCCATCACCACTCAGGGCAGATCTGACGAGGCCAGACACTGGACAAGAATCACGGCTAGTGGCAGCTCCTGGACCAAGACTCCGGTGTCCTCCTGCCTGCCCAGCTTCTTTGCCCAACACTCTCAGAGCACAACTTCGGGCAGTTGGTAAGCAGCAGATGGGTAGTTTCTAGAAAGAAACCCAGAGGGAGTGTTTTAAAAACCACGAAGAGCCAGGCATGGTGGATCACACCTGTAATCCCAGCACTTTGGGAGGCTAAGGCAGGAGGACTGCTTGAGGCCAGCCTGGGCACATAGTGAGGCCTCATCTTTGCGAAAAGTAAAATGAAAAAACCGAGTGTGGTGGTATGCACCTGCAGTCCCAGCTGCTGGGGAGGCTGAGGTGGGAGGATCACGAGAGCCCAGGAGGTCGAGCCTGCAGTGAGCCGGGATTGTTCCAGCCTAGGCGACAGAATGATACTCCCACTCAAAACACATATACACAAGGGCGCACCATGAAGGAGACAGGAGAGGGCAAATCTTCAACCAGTTGTGGGGGTCAGGGGTACGGGGCTAAAGCAGAGACCAGGCCCTCGCCCTGGGCAGACGTGGGAGGGGAGGAGCCTCAGCCTGGAGGGCACCTGCTGGCCTGTGTGTGTCTGGGGGGAGGAGACCTGGGTGGTGGAATTGGGTGTTCTCTGGGCAGGGAAGGGTTAAATCCTTCCAGGCTTCTGCCAGGTTTCCCTTCTGAACTTCCTCCTTCGGGCCTGGACACAGCGCCCAGAACCACCCGTGCCCTACGCTGTCCCCATGGCCTGCCTGAGCTCCTCACAGTTCCAAAAGGTAGGAACCTGCAGGGCGGGGAGGGTCAGGTGAGAGGGGGAGGTGCCCGCCGTACCTCCATTAGTCCTGGGAACTCAACCCTCCCCTCTCATTTTACAGAAGAGGAAACTGAAGCCCAGAGAGGTGGGTTTCAGGCTACAACCCCTGACTTCACTCACAGCCTGGGGTGTCCAGGTCACAGGACCTGGGCTAGGGTGGGGATGTGTGTGTATTTGACCAAACTGGAATAAGACCTTTGAATCAACCTGGCCAGAAGCCAGGCACGGTGGCTCACACCTGTAATTCCAGCACTTTGGGAGGCCAAGGCAGGAGGATCGCTTGAGCCTGGGAGCTCAAGACCAGCCTGGGCAACATAGCAAGACCTTGTCTCTACAAGCAAAAATTAGCCTGGCGTGACAGCTGGAGTTCCAGCTACTGGAAGGCTGCGGTGGAAGGATTGCCTGTGCCCAGGAGGTTGAGACTGCAGTGAGCCGTGATCCTGCCACTGCACCCCTGCCTGGGCAACAGAGACCCCAACTTAAAAAAAGAGAAAAATTTAAGCCGGGCTCAGTGGCTCAGCCTGTAATCCCGCACTCTGGGAGACTGAGGTGAGTGGATTGCCTGAGCCCGCGGGTTTGAGACCTGCCTGGGCAACTTGGTGAGATTTCTTTCTTTCTTTTCTTTTTTTTAATCAATATTTTTTATTATGATTTTGTGGGGTACAGTTAAGGGTTAGGTGTACCATTACGTTTCATTCAGGCACCCTGTTGATAAGAGGTGTTTCCCCATCCCCAGATGGATATTTGCGACTGTTAATCCCATCCCCCTCCCCCCGAGATTTATTTATTTCAACTCAAAATAAATAAATAAGTAAAAATAAAAACTAGCCAGGCATGACGGTGCATGCCTATAGTCTGAGCTACTCAGGAGGCTGAGGTGGGAGGAGTGCCTGAGCAAAGGTGGAGGCTACAGTGAGCCATGACCGCGCCACTGCACTCCAGCCTGGGCAGCAGAGTGAGACCCTGACTAAAGAAAAAAAGTCAGATACAAATGAGTATCTGCTGTGAGAAGTAGGCCAAATGTATTCCTCGCTGGTTCTCAGACTTTCAAATGGAGGATAATGGGAGAGCCTCCTTTAGAAAACCCTGCAGGCGCTAGAGTGGTAGCAGCTGTTATGATGGACTTGGAAATAAAGATTCTGGAACTGTCTGCCAAAACAGTAACAGTCTAAGTGTAGGAATTTAGCAGCGATTTTCTTTTCTTTTCTTTTCTTTTTTAGTTGGAGTCTCACTCTGTCGCCCAGACTGGAGAACAGTGGCAGCTCCCGGCCACCGCAGCCTTGACCTGCTGGGCTCCGGCGATCCTTCCGCCTCAGCCTTCCAAGTAGCCGGAACT